TCCCCCCCCCCCCTCCCCCCCTTCCGTATTGCCTCAATACTCTATGGGTGCGGACTAGCGGTGGGCACCCTTCTGGGGTGCAAAAACAGGAGAGTTTGGCCACGACCTCATGCAGGCGGAGAAACAAAAACGTTTCATTGCTGTCGAACGGCACAAAATGTTTTTCAACCCCTACAGCCGACGACGATCGTACGCGTCTACGTAGTGAGCGCACCGAGGTCAAACCTTGAGCGCTGTCACGGGTGGTCACGGGGGTATTGATTTCGGTTTCGGGTGCGAGCAGATTGGGTGTGGGATGATTCGGTCAAGAGATTGAAGCAGGTTGAAAAGTTCGCTGCTCTGTGTTGAAAGCAGGAGCTGGTCAAGATTTTCGCTGCTGCTATATGTTGCACCAGAAACGCCAGCGCCAAGAACCCCGAGCACAGGGAGAGGCGTGTCGTAGTCGCCGGGCGGGTGGTAGGAGTTGTTTGATTTATTTTTTATTGGGCGAATTGTTTTCGGGGACGCGTTCTTTTGTTGTCGTGTTTTGTGTCACTTTTTTCGTTTTCCCTGGTACCAAATGCTTCCCGAATAGCGATTGCAGAAGTGACGTACGCCTGATTTTTAGAAATATACATATGATCAAAAGAGACTGACTACCCATTCGAATGGGATGGATTCAAGTCTCAATTGACAGTGGATGGCAAAGAAAAGCTGGATGGGTGCTTGCTTGTTTTGAGTCCGTTAAGGCTGTCACTGAATTTGTAGCTGTGATACCAGCTGATTGTTTTTGTTTTTTTGTGTTTTCGTCTGATATGTTTACACCTCTATTGGCCACAGGACGGTGTTTGCCTGCTCCAAAGACCTAGCTCTAGCGGTGCAGAGGGCGAGATACGCCGGTTGGTGCGATGTTGGGGAGTGGAAGTTCTGCCAGGAATGACCAAGTCGCAGGTGAGGTTATCGTTATCCTTAACTTTGGCTCTTGCGCACACGACAGTCGAACAATCACACCCACAGCATTGTTCTAACTACGTCCCCATGATATCTCACACTAATCACGCTAGGTTTTAACCACGTGCATCACATCTCACGATAGCACGCGTAGTTTCTAACTAGGCGCATCACATCTCCCAATACCATGCTAGTCCCTGATGACAAAAGTTCCGCGCGTGTCCCCCCCCCGTCCCCGTCCCCCGTCCCTAAACAGCTGTCAAGCCAGCTGAAAGCGGCGTCTCGAGAAGGACTCCTTCCGTTGAACGGGTGCCTCTCGTATACCTACGAGCTTCCCACGCTAGCGGTGGAGGCGGCGGCGGAAGCGGCGGAAGCGGCGAAGGTGAAGGCGGAGGTTGGCGCGGAGGAGGAAGAGGAGGAGGAGAATGTCGGAGGCGGAGGGCGCAAGTTTGGTGACGAGTGCTATAACGAGGGCCAGGTCGTCTGGGTCCGAGGGGGTAAGAGGAAGAGGTAGAGAGAGCTTGTGGGTGGGTGGGTGCGTGAGATAGACAGACACACAGAAAGGCCAGACAGACAGACAGACAGACAGACAGACAGACAGACAGAGAGTAGAGAGTAAGAAGGGGATGGAAGAACACAACCAACAGGCGATTAGAATTTGCGTAGATTAGCGGAGTGAGCATGAGGATGAGGACAACCTTGACATGGCACCCCACATGCCCACTGAAAACCGCCAAACCACTTGGTCTCTACACATGATTCCAACCGCCTCTCTCATTCACGTGGTCAAGCGGAAATGTGGGATGGGAATGTGGAATGTCTCTCCTGCTTTGTTGTGCTTCAAATGCGACATCCAAACCAACCATTGCCTCAAGATGGAATCAGCAGCAATCAACCCACGCGTCATCCATCTGCTCGCGTCTCTCCAAACAGATGACAACATATCCACCCCCCTACCTCCACACACATGCTCATGACCCAACAACCCCCGCTACCAAACTTACAGCTTTCGTGGCCTACATGGATGGTCAAGCTGTCGAAGACGACGATGTCTGGTGCCCCGGGGTAGTGTGCGCCGCCGATAATTCCGCCGCATCTTCTCCGGCGGAAACAAACGGAGGGTATGGTGCCGTGGCGTCCCCGGGGGGGCTGGTCGTAGACGTGATGGGCCAGTCGAAGGTGGAGTTTGCCGTGGGGACGGACAACCTCACCGGTTTTCCGGGGTACGGAGACAACCTCGAGGCGTTTCGGCACTCGGTGGCAACGGGCCTGGTGAGTTTTTTTTTTTTGCTCCCCTTCTCGTTTCATTGAATAATATAATACCAGGTATACATCGAGACACACGATGACTACCCGTTGGAGATAATACCACAGTCGAACGACCTGTATTGAATGTATTGAAGTCTTGACAGCAAGTGGGAGAACAAACGACCGGATACGGACTTAGTCTTTACTCTGTTTTAAGCCTCTTGTTGGTTGTTGCTTGAAGTAGGGAATTTTATTTTTTTTTGCTTTGCTCTTCATGTTTATCTGCACACTAAGACTGGCTTCTCTCTCTCTCTCTCTCTCTCTCTCTGGGTGGACAAGGTCTAATTCGTCAAATCCCTCTCGCCTCCTCCATACTACTGTAGTGTTAGTGCCCGGAGTGTTGTTTTTCCGCATCCCACTGTTTCTTGCGTCAGCGTCGCTCGTTGCGATTATGCAGGAGACCGAATCAACCCGACGATAATAATTGTTCTGATTTAATTTCTGTGATTTTGTCGTTTTTATGAGTTGCCACCGCCGCCCGACAAGCAAACCTGTCCTGTTCCGCAACCACAAAGTGAAACATGTTGACTTTGATGTTGATGTTGAACCCCTGCTGTACCCTCCGCCTGCTTCTCTCAGGGAAATCCTCCAGATCATATGTGTCTAGCGGTCGCGCAAGCAATCCTGGCATGCCTGAAGTGTGGCTGGGACCCCGCGCGAGGCACGAACCTGCTCCGGCCCGCCCTGTGCAACGACCAGCGAGAAGGGGATGTGAGTGCTTATGTTGCCTTGCCTGGCCCTCGTTTTTGTTTTTGGCTGGTGCTTTCTTAGTTTATCTCGGTGGACTCTTGTCCTCCTAGATGATTGGTGCGGTGCGGCGGTAGCGGTATGCGCCACTGTTTGCGATGACATGTGAAGACAAGAACAACATGGCACCGCCACATGTGTTTGCGCGTACATGCGTGCGTTGTTGTATGGTGTGCCCGTTACTTGGGTGGTTCTTCAGAAGCATCCGGCGGTGTGTTCATCGTACGGCCTCGTCTGTATGTATCGTGCGCAACTGTTGCTCTCGCCGTCGCACGGTCATGAAGGAAGACCCCAAGCGGCTGACCTATTTGGTTGTTGTGCGGGTCCTGAAGCAAATTCCCCGGCAGTATATTGTACATGCGCACCTTTCCGGATGCAACCGGAACACGAATTGCCTGATACAGCTGAGCATCATCCGGAAGACATCCGGCTACGAGCCCCGCACGTCTCCCCTCCCTTGGCCTCTCTCCCCTTGGTTCTAATACGGCGGCATAGCAGCTGAAGCTCTCATCCTTGCACATCCACGCACACACCCCTTTTGATCAATGTCCCCCACCTCGTCCCCACCGTGTTCTTGCGCCGGCGCCAGGCGCGGCTCGGGAAGTACGCTGCCGCGTGGGGCGTGGACCCCGACCGGCTGGAGGAGCTGCTCAAGTACTCGTGGGCGTTGATGAAGCCCAACGCCCAGAAGTCGAAAAGGGCCGATGGCGATCAAGCCGGCAGTAGGGAGGAGGAGGTGGAGGAAGAGGAGGGAGAGGGGGAGTGGGACCACCTGAGGGCGACCTGGCGGAAGCTGGAGAACATGTGGCGGGGGGCGAAGTCAGCCGTGCAAGAAGAGAGTTCCGGGTCCCGCAGCGGAGATGGCGGTGGTGCCGCGGATAGCGGCAGCGGCGGCAGCGGCAGCGGCGGAGGCGGGGGCAGTGACAGTGCGGTGCCCGATGCCACAAGCAACGGCGATAGCGGTAGCGCTACTACGGTAGTCGATGCTGACAACAATGCCGCTGCGAAAAAGGACACGGTGGCCGCCGGATTAGGCGACGATGGCGGAGATGGGAGCGAGCCGGGTGGCAAGCTGCTGCCGCCGCCGCCGCCACCGCCGCCGGCTGCGGCTGCGGCTGCGGCGGAAGGAGGCGTTGCGGCGCCCACGGCTGCGACGCCCGCAACACCGGTGCCTTCGGCGGCGGCTTCACCACCGCCACCTGTGGTAAGTGCATCAGCCCCGGAGCAGGAGCAAGCTCCTACGGTGACCCTGGTCGCCCCTTCCACGGAGAGTGTTGTGTCTAAGAAAGGCGTTCCGGCGGCGGCGGAGGCGGGGCCCGACATCAGTAAACCTCCTGTTGCTCCTGCGGCCCCTGCTCCTGCTCCCGTTGCTGGTGCCCCTGCTGCTGCTGCCCCTGCTGTTCCTGCTGCTGGTCCTGCTGTTCCTGCTGCTGCTCCTGCTGTTGCCCCTGCTCCTGTTGGTGGTGCTGCAGCCGGCGGTGTTGTTGACGACGCGCAACGAACAACCCCCGCCGGCGGTGGCCTCGCAGCCATGGACGTGGATGATGATGCTAGCCCCGCCGCAGCGAGAAGCAACTGCGCCACCGCCGGCGGTGTTGTTGACGGGGCCGCAGCGCAAACAGTGATCGGTGTTGCCGTTGTCGATGGGGCCGCAACCCAAGGTATCGCAGGTGGCGGTCCCAGGGTTGATGATGGCAGGGCCGCGACAAAAAAGGCAGACAGCATGTGGGCCGATTCTTCTGATGTGGTGGCAGCGGCGGCGGCGGCATTAGCGGCGGCAACAGCACCAACCGCGAGAAGTAGCGCCGCCGTCGCCACAAAGCCAGCCGAGAGCGCTACTACCCAAGGGGCAGGTGTATCGCAGCCAGCAGGGGCCAAAGCCGCTGCTGAGAGGGATTCGTCGAAACCAGCCACGGCCGTCTCAGGCGCTGCTCCTGCTGCTCCTGTTGCTCCACAACCGACAATCGCTGCCAACCCCCGTCCAGGTAGGTCAGCGGACGAAGCGAGCGATTGCCGAGATCGGAAGAGGGCCAGGATGGACTCGGGTGACCGGACCAACACCGCGCGAGGTGAAACAACAGCACTCGTCACCAGCAACAGCGCAACTCCGGCAGCTGCCTCGCCTGCTGTTGTTGCTCCCCCCCCCACAGCCGGGCGTTCTCCGCCGCTGACTGCGATCAGAAAAGCGGGGAAGAGCGGGGGCATCACAGGCTCCGTTTCGCCGGCGTCCGCCGTCGGCAACGGCAAGGGATCGGGGCCGGGTGACGGCGGTGCTACGGCTGTTGTCGGTGTGGCTCGTGCTTCTCCCTCGATTGCTGCTGGCCCTGCTGCTGCCGCCGCTCCTGCTCCTGCTGCTGGTGCTGCCCCGAAAAGCACAACAGATGATAGTGCCGCTGCGGAGGCCAAGAAGATGAAGACGACGGTCTCGCCATCGACGACAACCATCCGGACTGGGAAGGACGCCTCGCGAAATGGTGTTGGTGATGATGGCGGTGGTGGCACCACGGAGTCAGCAGCAACGACACCCGCCCAAGCTGCGGCTCCTCCACAAAAGACCGCCGCCGCTATCACCGCCACGAAAGACGTGCTACGACCGACGGCAATACCCGCCAGCAAGGACGTCAAGAGTGACGGCGATGAGAAGCCTGCCTCGGCGCTACCCGCGGCGGCGTTGAAGGCGGCGGTGGAAGCGGCCCCGGCTGCTACAAGCACTGTTGCCGCCGCGTGGAAGACCACGAAAGCAGCAGAAGAGAATATGAAAGAATTGTCGCCGACGAAGACGACGAAGACGGTTCTCACGGGCAACGGGGTAGCTTCGATTGGCAAGACACCGCCGGCAACTCCACCGCCACCAGCGATAGCGGCACCGGCTGAGAAGGACCGGGTTCGAGCGCAACCGCCGTTGCCGCCGTCTCAGCGCCCGCCAGCGGCTAAGACAGATGACGGCGATGCCACTCAACGGGGACCCCGAAAAGCAGGAGGCGGGGAAACACCCAACAGTTTGCCACAAGAGGTGGGGGGCGACCTCGGTCAACGAGCACAGCGGGAGCCGCGCAGAGGGCAGAAATTCGACATACCGCCGGCGTTCAAGGAGGACGACTTCCTCTCTCGGAAGGAGCGCAACGCTCGCAGGTTCGAAGCGCATAGGAACCGCGCTCGCTAGCTAGCGCGAGTGTGTACCTTCCACCTGCGCGTGGCGTTTGTCGATAACGGTGGGAGCTTGAGTCGGGCTGGGCGGGCGTCGGGAACCTGTCTCGTGGACCGGGCACTTCCTTTAACCCTGATGCTGTGCAATTTTTTTTGCATCGCCTGTTTGCTGTTTTTCGCGGATCGATACATTCACGGTAGTGTGATAACCGGTGACAAGAAGCCGAGCGTATGTGTTCAATTTGGTGCTGTGACTGCTGTGTTCCGATGTTTAGCGTTGGGTGAGAATGTTTTTTTCTATGGGTTTGCTTTTTGAGGGGCGTTGTCATCGTTGGCGCTGGCCTGTGCTGCGCTATTCTGTTTGTTATGTGCTGCTGAGTTGCTCGTGCTCCCCTCCAGAGCTCTTCATCATTTCTGTGTTGTACTCTTTAAGATTGGTTGATGTTGTGGTCGGCCTTTTCAGGAGCACTCGTTTGGTCTGTGGCTAGGTTGGACTTGCATTCTGTTCTTGTTGTCGAGTATTTTTCTTTTCTGCTGAGTTTTTTTACTCCCGTACTGTTGTAGGTGGTCGTGGATTTTTTTTCGTGACAGGCTGTGCAACGTTTTGTCCAATGATTAGGGGGTATATTCTGTAGGACCTTTTCATGCTGTTGTTGTAGCTGCTCTGGCCCTCCCATCGGCATTCATTAGGAGACTAGACTCCTTCTGGACGCCCTACTTGCAGGATATGGGAGGGAATACTTGTGAATTTTTAGGTGAGGGGTTGGCCCAATCGGTTGTGTTTTTATTAAGTGCGTTCATTCCACATACAAACTACTGCGGGAATCAACCACATGTACGTGGTAGACCAGTACGGACGGAAGAAGGTGCTGGGCAGAAAAATTTCGGAACGGTTTTTAATGTGAAGACAACAACAGCAACGTACACACAATGTGTACGCTGTCTGCGTGACCGTTTTCCTGTGTGACCCCGGCTGACGACTATGCGTACGCCCAGAAAACATTCCGAACCGGGCCCCTAGGAGCACACTGCTGCCGTGCTTGTTCGACCTACATATACGACGAATTTTGAGGGGTGCGTCGAGGCGCGCAAGCCGCCCCAACGTCAACCAGCGGTCGGACATGCATGAAGGCTTTCAGACAGCAGTCCGAGCCGCTTCGCGAAGCACAACGAACGTAGTTTAAGGCACCTATATTACGGCCTAGTGAATCCGGTCGTCGGTAGCTTTTCGAAAGAAGGGCAAATCGAACCTCCGACAGTACGACAGTACGACAGTACGCGAAACAGCAAGAACACGCGAACAGATACAGTGGGTGGCCCGATATAACCGGAATAGTGCCGGTTGCCGGTATAGTGCCGGTGTTTTCGGCTCGCACACACCGGAATATCAAGTCTTTCTGTACTCTGAATAGTGCCGGTGCCCGGTATAGTGCCGCTTTGCTCTCTGAACACATACCGGCACTATAGAGGGCCCCCTACTGTACAACAGATACACTTGTGCATGTGTGTGTTTCGTTCGCCGCACAAGCTCTCTCTGTCCTTGGCATGAACAAGGTCCACATGCGGTGGACGTTAATTACACGACACGCGGTATGACATCTACCAGCACGCGTGCTGGGTTCTTGTTCGAACAGCCCGAACACTCTTCTTCTCCGTGACACACGATCAAGCAGAAACACACGATATACATACACGCACTGCCGCTTGAGGTTACGCGACAGGGCCGGCATTGGTCACTACCCTTTTTCATGCCGTTTGCGTACCACTTCTGCAGTGAAATGGCCACTGAAAAATCGCACTTGATTGGATGATGCCCGTCAAGGGTTGTACATGGCCGCCCTTCGGTCATATGCACCAACACATAAAAGAAAGACTGTCACAAAATGACAGCAGCAGCAGCAGCAGCAGCAGCAGCAGCAGCAGCAGACGACGACGACAAAGAACCACAACAAAATGCTGCCAACAAGGAAGGGAAAAGCAACAGAAAACGACAGCATTAAGGAGTAGTAGCATGCTTTCGCGCAAAACTACAGTTGGCGCTCGCAGTTCGGAAATATTTTGTTGAGAAATTGAGGATCACTTTTTCACGAAAAATACGGAGATAGGGTTAAGAAACATAGCGTAATCTGGGTCACACAATAAGAAATGTCTCAAAAAGATAGGAAGAGAGCGGGGGGCGCAAAAGGGCGACAACCCCCAATCTTCGCCTCACGGAGCTTGCATCATGATGACGGGGTAGTTTTCGTTGTTGGGCACGGGGGCGTGCGGGTGAGGCATCATGCGGTGATGTTGATGCATTTGTTTAGTTTCTTCCCTCACTCATGAGGGGGGTACAGGACCTTGTAGCGATAGCGAAACGTTGCCGCTGGATACATTTCGCTTCTAGGGAGTGGCCTTACGTGCAGCCGTCGGTAGTAGTTGTTTGTTGTTGTTTCTCACATCAGCTCTAAAATAAAAAAAGATTGGGAGCCCGTGGTCTCAAAACCCGGCATACACGACCCCACGAAGAAACAGAAAAAAATAGGGTACAAAAACCACTCGGAAGAGAAACAAAATGATAGAAAGAAAGACCAGCTACCGCACCAAACGAGAAAGAGCGTCGAGGAGACCGATCAAAATAAAATAAAAGGAGAACGGGGAACGCTTCCCACACCCGCCTACAACGCCGGAGGGTTCCGTGCCGGGTTCCCGCCGACCAGGCAT